TTTGTTGTTGTTTTTCGTTTTTGTTTTTGTTTTTGTTTTGTTTTCTATAATTTTTGATTCCATTTGTGCTTGTTAGCTATTTTTACACAATGTTTACTTTATCATCCATTTTCGTGTTCCCTATCTACGTAATGTGGTCAGGAAAGGGATGCGCTGACAGATTGTGGACTTCAAAAAATGGCGCTCCGTCGCCTTCTGCTGTTGCACAGTCTAGGTACGGTTAGCGGCGTTTTCCAGCAATAAATATTCCTGCTGCATTTGGGAGACACTAGTAGCTCCTTGTGAGAGCATTTTTAACAATAGTATTTAGATAAATATCGTGCCAGTAACAGCCTGTGTCGATACCAAGGCTTGGAAGGGCACGTGTGTTTGTAATTGGCAATCTATCTCGATCCTTTTTATCAGCACAGCTGATAGAAAACAGAAAAGGTATTCGACAACTTTTATCTAAAATTTTCATGTGTTTATGGCTTCCTTGGCTAGGGAGTTGCCATGTGTTTCTGTGGTAACAGAAAAAGAATCCTTAGACATTAATATTTTTGTAGTTCATAAGTTAAGTTTTGTTGTTGTTGTTGTGTGTGTGGTTTTTTGTTTGTTTGTTTGTTTTTTTTGTTTTTTTTCTCTTCTTTTTCTTCAAGTAAAGACATTGTACACGTTTTTTTTTCAGAACATGTGGTATTCCAACTAGTCACATGATCTATAACCAATCCAATCCAACTGACTTTAGGAGTACATATGTTTGAAGTTGCTGTAAAATCCCCTTTAACAAAATGAGGATTCATTTGTCTTTTGTGGTCTTTATTTGTCTTTCTTATGTCTTAAGTCTTTCACTGGTCAATGGGATTATCCCTCGTTAAAATATTTCTGCTCTTGACAAAAACTCCAACCGGTTGTTTTGATCTTATAATCGGATTTAATAACAAAGTTTATCTTGGGAAACAAATCTCTAGAACAAGAATGGAATATCGAGTGAATCAGTATACACGACAACCAAGGCATAGATATATGCACATATAAAGATAAATAGATATTTTTAATGGCTTACAAATAAAATGCTATTGAATAAAGCTTTTTTGGAGAAGTTTATACCTCTTGTGATGAGTAACTAAAACAAGACTAAAGATATCCATTTCGCATTATACCGGGTAAAACTGAATCAGACATACCACTTAATAAAAGTAAAGTAATCCTGTTAGTAACACTTATTCATCCGATCAACGTTCCATGTAGTCCTGCCAAATTTAAAAGCTAGATGTTTATTCTACAAGCGGTTTCATCCTCACAAATTCGCACGCTTTTTAGGTAGCTTTTTCACGAATCACGCTTTTCTCGACTCAAATTATCACGTGAAACATTCAACTCACGGCTTCACGCAAAAAGGAAATCATATTGTGACAAAGATATCGCTGAAAAGAATAAAAGCGTTTCCATAGCAACTTTATGTGACAGTAGATTTTATGGTTTGACGTCTGAAAGAAAGGAAACCAATATTTCGTTTCATCGTTTTGGATTATTTTATCACAAAGAATAATATTTCAGTTATTTCCGTC